CTTTTTTATAAGTAGAGTAACAGAGTAGAAACAAATAAATGAACCAACGTGCAACTCTGTGTTTATCATTACATTGCGAGAAAATATTTGCTTTAATTCCTGAAAACTATTGAAATGCCTTATATTTTTAACTTGTAATATATCTGTTACAGGTCAAATTAATATTCGGGTTAGAATATTTTAACCAAGGTTGATTCTCCATTTCCTTTGTTTCCTAGCCCTGATTCATTAATAAGTAGGGCAAGTATACAAAGGAAATAGAGAATCAACCTAGGTTAACCTGAATTTAATTTTGAGCTGTAACATACCCTTAGCTATTTTAAAGGTTAGAAAATGTAAAGTATTCTTTTCCCTTCCTTCGTGAAATTAGCGGCCTTAATATTCTACAAATATGTTGATATGTATAAAGTTTTAGATAAAGATAGCCTTCATCTTGATATTTTGTAGATTAAACCAGTTGATGGGTCACTTGCTGAAATAACGTTCGGAGATACAGATAATGAGCTAAAGAAGTTCAAATCAGCTTTTTTGCTTTTTTGTCAAGGAAATACTGTAAGTATAATTCCAATGATACTCACGCACAACAAATGGCTATTGTTTTTTTAGGAAGAGAAAGCCTACAGTCAACAGAATCCACTCTTTTTAATTAGCTTTTTCGATTATCATCCTTTTTAAATTGTTAAGTGCTGATTATCAGTAAATAAAGTCAGCTTTATCACATTTGAAGATGTTTTTTTGTGACTCTCTTGCTCGATATGTTTTCATTGACCTGGTTATAACTGAATACTTAATGTAATTTACAGGAAGATGCTCAGAGTGTGTGTGACACGTTGTTTGATGGATCGTCTGCTGATGAGTTGGATAATGCAGTGCTTACACTCAGTCAGCAGTTGATTGATGACTTCCCAGTCTCAGATCCTCGTTGGGCAGAGTCCGTTCCTGCTGGTGAGTTCACGACTCTTACTTAACTAATGGGAAATTGTCAAGGTGTGGTTGCACAATACGGAGTTTCAAGTCTGGTTAAACCCATCTAATAGTCCAGATCGTGTCGATTACCATGTAGTTTTGTGACGATTGAGACGATTATATGGATACCTGTTCAGGCAATCGAGACGATTGTATGGAAACAGCTCTGACGCAGTGTGTGTGAATCTAGACGATTAGAGCAATGGCAGTCGCCTGGATGGAACTGAAGTCTAAAAATGAACAGAGCAATTTCTGTATAATCATGTACCTCAATCGTGCCAAAACCACAAAGCGATCAAGAGTATCCTGAAGATTCTATGGAAAGTCGCAGGCGTGCAGTGAAAAGAAATATACAAACAATTGTGATGCTCTCTTAGCGTTGTTGTTTCGTCGTTGTATTTCCTTGTCATAAGGGAGGCTCCCTAATTATTACACTCCACATTGTGTGGTTCCAGAAATATTCTTTTGTCAAGGAGAAGGTCATTTGGAATCTATGAGGGAAGAGGGGTCTGGGGCAGTAATTTCCTTAGGCAGGAGGCTCACACTGAGGTTTTTGTGACTGTGTTGGCAGAGGATGCACTGTAAATATTTTTTCTTTTCGTAAAGTCAAAACAGAAAAAAAAGAATTATTACAGCCTTTCTCCGTTTATCTAAACTTAAGCACTGTATTTTATAATAGCAATTATTAAAAACTGAATCATTGGATAGTGCAATATTTACTCGAGAGCTCTGATTGGCTTAGCCAGCACGGTATATGAGCCATTAGTAACATCCAACTGGTGGTATATTTTCAATGCTGCGTTCTGATTGGTGGCAAAAATGATTTAAGTCTAGCTTTAACTAGCTAAAGTTGTTTTGTCTCGATATTTTTTACTAACTAGTTGGATTTACTAAAACGATTATTCCTCTCGCCCCCATGGGCTATTGATTCAGAGCCCATTCGGGCTCGAGGAATAATTGTTAATTATACCGTGCTCTCCAAGTATGGTAACTGTACGCGTCTGCTCTGAAATGACTCCTGGGTTCAAACCCAGTTGTACGCGTCTGCTCTAGCTGAAAATCGGTTGTTTTTACAAATAAAGTCGGGAAGAACTCTCGAAATTTTGAGGGCGTTTTTTTTTCACTCGCGCTTGTTGGATATAATATGATTATAGCCAACTCGGCGCTAGGCGCCTCGTCGGCTAACTACCATTAGGGACCTTACGATCCGACAACGGCGGCGTCCATGAAAACGTCGTTGAAAAATAGACTTCGCATTTTGTCACTTTTTTTCGAGATTATTCCAAGGGGCCCAGTTACTTAAAAGAGGGGAATTTAGTTTGAAGCTGAAGGGAAGGGACCACGGTTCCGACAGAGTTCTGACAGAGATGGTAGAATTTATCGCCTTGCCGTTCCCGTTCCCAAGTAAACTTAAAATTTGGTCATTTCACGTCTAGTTGTCCAGGGACTGCAAAGAAATGTACAAAAAAGCGTGATGCACGTGCAGAGTTGTTGTTTTGCTCATTAAACCTATTGCTTTTTCTTACGTCGCCGTAGTAGTTTCGTAACGTCCCCGTTTCATATCCAACGCGCACTCGTGGAATAATTGCTAAACAGACCTTTTTACTGATACGGCGGCCATATTGAATTAATTCCCAGGGGGGCATGAGCACATTTCGTTTGTATTTTCGTGCGCTTTTCGGGACATTTTTTCTTAGAATAAGATTGTAATGGGAAAAAAGATCCTTGTGCCGTGTTTGGATGTGATAATGATCGCCTTTTTCCCGAGAAGTATACCATGAAAGACCATATTTCTAATACTAAACTAGAAAAAGGCGATCATTATTACATCCAAACACGGCACAAGGATCTTTTTTCCCCTTACAATCTTATTCTAAGTAAACTTTACGAAAAAATGTCCCGAAAAGCGCTCGAAAATACAAACGAAATGTGCTCATGCCTTCTGGGCATCCTATAATACTCCTTAAATCGAATTAATTCAGTATGGCCACCGTATCGGTAAAAAGGTCTATGTCTATTAACAAAAAATTTTTTTTGCTCTGTCTCCTTTTGAAGCTGCCGGTACTTTTTGTTTTATCAGTTATCTCTACACTACATCCTTTGTCATTCAATTTTCTTTGCTGACCTTTGTTAATCGTGAAACTTACAATCTTTAATTATTTCTCAACAGTACTCTTTACTTACAAATATGTGCTCTAAATGTCACAACAGGTGGTATGTCTGCTTCAACTTCGCTCATAATCCTGCACCAGTTGGAAGACAAGTTAAAAGCTCACTCATTCATGCTTGATTTTCTGAAGGGCGTTGGCTTGTGGGATAAGGTCAGAAATAATCTTGAAATCATTACATTACCATAGTGATAATAATAATAATAATAATAATAATAATAGTAATAATAATAAATATAATATAATAACAGCTAATAAGATGTATATAATATGTAATACATAAATAAAATGGGAAATGTTAAGCAACCAAGCGGTTAGCTGCGAACGGGATACAAAGGCCAAGTCAAGTCAACTCAGCTTTACTTCACTTTTCAATGGAAGATACAGAAGTTAATGACAATAATGAGTATTTACCTTTCATTAAATTTCTTTTGTTTTGTCTTTATGAATTATTAATGTTTTTTGAAATAACTTTCAAATACTTCAGGCAGCTTAAGATCTGTAGGGAGATTAATTGGTATTAGTCTCAAAGCTTTATTTTTAAGGATATTTTATTTATTAATACATAATTTAAGGTCTAAGACGTGTGGGATATGTGTTTGCCCAGACACGTGCTCCATCTACTGTAAATAGGGGTAGACTAGAGAATAGTAAACTTGCTTGAGAGTACTTGAATCTAGATAGTGCCTTATATTTGAAAGAATACCTACACTTCAGGGCTCGAAGTTAACTTTTTAGTGCACTTGCAAAGTTTTGCTAGTAAGTTTTTTTTTCACCAGCAAACTGGTGAGACCAATAGCAAATTCTTTCCCTTTGTTTGGAAGACATGGATGATTCTAACTCGCAAACGTTTGCTAGTGGTTATTTTTCTCACTCCCAGATCATCAAAATCACTCGCATTTTGCGAGTTTGCGAGCGTTAATTTCGAGCCCTGCACTTGTTTGAAATTTTATGTGAAACATAGGTTATATGGGCATTCCATGCTAAGTGTTGGTCTATATAAACTCCTAAATATTTCAAAAAGCTAGTTTGAGCCAACTCGACATTTCCTAATTGTACACGAATATTTTTTCAACGCTTACGCAAGGAGCAAATTAACTTGATTTGTTGGGTTAAGTGATAATTTATTTGCCTTTAGCCAATCGTAGAGCAAGAGACATCCTGTATGAACGTTATGTTCTAAAGTGACAAGAATCAGCATTATTATCAGCAAACAATCGTTTTGATAAAAATTCACTCTAGTTACATTGGTCTTCTAGTTTGTGAACTCGGCTAGACAGGTCGTTTAATTTCTTCTTCAGCTGCTTGTTTTCAGACTTTACGTAGTCATTTAACTCTTGAAGTGTCGCTATTGACAGTGCGAAGTCGTCAAAATTTTTGGAATTAAAATTCAAGCTTGTTTTAGTTTCCTTTAATTCAACTACAGTGATCTTCTTATATGTAAAAAATAGTTCATTAAGTTGGCTGTAGAAGACTTTAAAGCGGGTGTCCCGAAGAGATTCAATATAGGACGCATACGTGTCAGCCGACGACTTGCTCGCTTTTTGGTTTATGTTTGGCATACTTCAATTCAAAAAACTTATGATGTTGTCTTGTCCACTTAGTTCGTTTTGCATCGAAGGTCTCAAGTTTCCAGCTCTTAACGCCACAACTACACTTCGCTCAATCCACTGCCCTGTCAAGTTGAAACTCAACAATAAGATATATGTGAGCGAAAGCCTTTTTAGCTTTCTGGTATCAGTGAAGCAGCAAAAAAGTCATAATTTGACATGAGAGATAATGAAAGATAATTATGAGGTCTATCAAATCTGAATAAACAGTCAATCTGCAGGCTCTTAAGAGTGCAAAGTAACGACTAACAGAAATAACATTAATTAAGCTTATAAGGTCTATCAGCTTATATTACGTTATTGTTCTGCTCCTTGTTATTTGTATTAAATGATTGTAAAACTATATATAGAAAGCGATATTTTCATTGCAGCTTGGTGTGGTAAATTCTATAGACAAGTCATCCTTAACCTGCTATCTGATATGTGAACATGCAGAAAAACTCAGTGCAGCTATAGCCTTGTGCAAGCTCAATAAAATGTGAGTATTTTGTTCAATTTTTCACTGGTTAGGTTCCCTTCGTAACGGTTTAGCCTTGTCGTATCGTATGTACATTAATTTGTTTCATCCGCTGCTCACATATTTGGTTATGTTTGTTTACCATTTACAGAAAGTTTTCGGAAAATGTGGTTGAAAATTTTATGGAACATGTCCTTTTGGGTCAATGATCCAAACGGAAATTCGTGTTCCATTTCTTGAAAGCCGTCTTTAATACCGGTTTCAGGCCTTCGCGGCCGATTTTTGGCAAATGGCGAACACGATTCCGGGAAGAAATTTACCAGCCCTGAATTCTGCTTACCATTTGCTTAAAACTTGAACCAGCCGGATTACCCATGTAAATGTTCAGCTACCATTGTCAACGATTTCTTTTTGTTTAGGTATCAGACTGTGGTTGATGAAAGTATCGCAGTTGTTATTAAGAGGCGGCAAGTAAAGTCTCAAGTCAGAGGACTCACTGAGCATGATCTGTTCTTTAGGGAGGTAAATAAATCTGAGTAACAAAACTTGCTTGACACTGAAAGCTGAGGATTTTAATTCCATGCCCTTCGTTATCGGTCAACTGGTATTCAAAAATTGGCCCTTTGAAGACCACTTTGGTCGTTTTCGTTCTTCAGTTTAAGCTAATCAAGTTGGTAAGCAGCAACGTCAGTATAGATCTCTCTAGTGATACCTTTTTTGGATATTCTGACCAATCCTGACAGGGTTACACGCAAAGACCAAGTAACATTTTGGAGAAAAATCCACTGCCAATTTCGCTATTTACCTACTCCACTGTGTAGATGAAATTTGTACCTTTCCTAAAAAGTTAGCCAGCCAAAATTCCCTGCAAAAGTAGGACGAAGAAGTGGACAACAAAACTGCATATGAAAACTGAGAAAGGGAAAGGGACGAAAGAATGGGAGAAAGAAAGATTGAAATAAATTCGTAAAACAGGTCCAAAGTTTGGCTTATGCTCATGCGTGAAAACAAAACAGCTGCTTAATTACATCGATTAGTCGGGAAAAATGCCCTTATTGTTGTAAAACTCATTTTTAGCCATTTCCATGCTAATTAGACGAAAACCAGAACAAAAAAGAGGAATTTGTGAAAACGCGGTTTTTTCGCTACTTAACCTGCGTAGTAGGCGCTTGGAAGTATTAAATCTCTATTCGCTGGCCGCCACCAAAGAGTTCGCCGCACGGACCATGGAAAACCATGAAAAACCTAAAAGTCATGAAATTTACAAATTTCATTTGCCAGTCCTGGGTAGCCTGTGTCGCAGACGTAATTTGAACCCTGTTAGTGACGTCTGAGAAGCAGCGCCGATGCAGTTGTCCCTTTCGTAAACGGTCGCTGCCGTTTTTACGACACTTAGAAAATTTGGGACCTGATATTGAGAGTGTTTCCATGAAAAAGAAACAAAATCGCAACCCAGGGTCAAACCAGGGCCTTGAACCCTAACCGCCAAAATTCCGAAAAATTTAAGTAAATACACTAACAAACTGTCTTTCTTAACTCTTTCGTAAATTTTAACGAAGATTCAACTTGGACTTCAACGTCGTTCTTTGTAACACTATTCGAAAACGTATTTTTTGCCTTTTTGTAACTTAATCCTGGGAATATATTACATCTATCATGACTAAAGGCTTGGTTACTAATGGTGGCATCGACCATTAATGATTGCAAAGACCGTTTACGAAAGGGAAATAGGCAGCGCCAATATCCTTGGTCTGGGCTCCCAACGGACTCAACGAATTACCGGAATTGCGTTTCGAATTTCATTTCAACCTGATTGGCAAATCAACAATGGCTTTTTTAACTGACCAATCATGGCGCTTATTCAAATCCTGGTACACAGGTTGGTGCCTAGAATAAGGATTTCGGCGCTGTTTCGTAGATGGACTTAACCATTAATAGTCCCATTAACCAGAGTTTAGTTTCGTCTGTGGCGCAGGATAGGCCTGCAAAGTCTTGAAATTTAATTGTCGGTCCTGGAAATTCGTGGAAAATTAGAGTTTGTTAGATCAGTTTCTGCAGATGTCAAAGCTAGGACAACGTAAGATAGTGACGAGTAATGAAACTGTGCGAACGGCACGCATTTTGCTGGACACCAAGGTCTGTTGAATTGACTTAGGTAAAAAGAATACCCTAAAACAAGGCAAGTTTTGAAAATTTTCGAAAGTGGCAGCTAAACTTAACTTTAAGGTCATAGAAAACTTGAAAAGTTCATTGAAAAAGTCTGGAAAGTCAAGGAATTTGATGAGCTTAAAACAGCACAAACTCCGTAACAGACTTTCATTTAAAAATCTTGTAACAAAAGTGAATTTCCTCCCGTAGGTTTCTAGAATATCTGATTTCTTCGAATGTCTGTTGAATTATGAAGAAATGTTTGAAAAGCGGGCGTCGCCTTCTCTTTTCCTGGAAACAATTTTAGCAGTTAATACGATTATGCAGGTAAGCTTAAAAATACTTACTGATGCCGGTGACCAAAAACTTAAGTGAAAGGTCAGAAGAAAAAAAAACAGGTCAAATAATTATTGTTACAGCTACGAAAACGTGAGTAGCCTGGCCACAGTTGTTCAATCATTGGATAGCGCTATCCACCGGATAAATCACTATCCAGCAGATAAGTGTTAAGGAAACTAATAGGCCCTTTTCAGGAAACGGTTACCTGGTGCATAAAACACCTTGCTGGATGGCAAGCGACGTAGAGGGGCTAGAAAAACAGAGATTACATCATTCAAAAAGCTAATATCCTTTCCTTTCAAGGTTTTACTGCGTCGTTTGCCGTCCAGTAAGGAGTTTTTTTGTACCATGTGACCGTATCGTGCAAAGTGCCCAATAAGCTATCCAGTGGATTGAGATTTATCCAGTGAGTAGTGTTATCAACCTTTTAACAATTGAGGCCTGGTTTCCATACAATTGCTGCTACCGGCAATGCAACGGGTTGGATCGCTGAAAATAAACTCAGTACTGGTCTCTACGAGGGACCTCCCCTTTCTCGTAAATCATATGAAAACCAGTTTTTACGTGTATCCACCTAGGAAATGCTGCAAGAAGCCTGGCACTACCGACAGACAAATTCCACATTGTATCAGCCAACCAACCAATCAGAAGAATTGAAAATCGAGGTGCTACCATGGACTGGTAAGGTTATAGCTGTTTATTTGGGTGGAGACTAAGGTATTGATCTTGTCTTCGTAAGTTATTGAATTCTGACTGTACTTCATCTATAGCCACAGCAGGACCAAGTGGAATGAGATCATTGCTCTTGAAACAGGTGAGCTACCGCTTCAGGTTGTCTGGGTTAGAAATGGCGCTGCACTTTTGTTTATTGATTTTAGTTTTACTAGGGTATATTTTATGTGTGTGTGTTATATTATAAATTCTAGTCTTTTTCGCTCACTGATTGGATGCTTCTCTGGATCTCGTGGTTTCCTTGTGTCCTTGTGCTTTTGGTCGTCGTGGTTCTTCTGGTTGATCCGGTGTTCTGGTTCTTGTGGTTCTCTGCATGGTTATTCTGGTCCTTGAGTACCTGTAACTCTTTCTGCTGTCAGCTGTGGCTGTTACACCGGGGATGAGCCTTGTACTGATCACACACTATAGATGTTGACAGACGTGCTCTTCCTTCAGTTCTATTTTTGACTTGTGACCATCAACTGATAATAAAGCAAAGAGTTAAATTCTGTTGTTCCTGCTTTCGAGAGACATTCTTACTTTCAGAGGGTTCTCATTCTGGGATTTAATAGCAGAACTCAATGTTAATGTTACTTTTGGGACTTAACGGTATACTCTTACATATCAACTATGTTTTTTTCCCTCTACCCGTACCCTGGCTGATTGTAGCTGCTGCACATGTTTAAAACGCATTGCTAATTGAATTTTTTATTCGCAATTTTAGCTGGCATTTACGACTGAGAGAGGAGTTTCAGAGGCTGATCAGCGGGTTTGTCTTGTTAAGTCTCAGTGTACATCTTGATAACTTCACGTCGTGTTTCCCGAATAGGCCATTTCCACGATGACGTCTTTTTACCACTAAGACTAGAATTCATTTCGTTTTTTCTTTCATATTTAAATTTGGTAATCCCAGTGAGTTGCACAAGAAAGCAAACCCTGAAGGATTCTGGTAGTTGTAGTAAAATGACGCCATTGTGTAAATGCCTTATTAAAGCAGTGTTTCGCCGACTTGGAGCTTCTTAGCTTTTTCCAGGCCTTCAGGTTATGGCGATGGCGCAAAGAGATGTCAGCAGGAAAAACAGCTAGGGGTTGGGGTTGGGAGTCTCCCTCTGTTCCTCCCCATTTTTTCCCCTGCTCTCTGTCTTCGCGCCACTCTGCACTATCTGAACGCCTTAAAGATGCTAAGAGTTTCTATGCCACATACTTGGCATAGTCGTGTTGAGCTAATATTCAGTTGTAATTCAGTAGACTTTCTACATACTGGTCACCGTCCGGAAACCACGTGGGTAGGTGGCCAGGATAATATTTTGTGGCCTTGTGGTATAAATGGGTTTACAGAAAGGCCGCACTCAAGTCAGAGCGACTTTTTTTCAGTTCGTATACTTAATCAAACTTTTTGAGAGCCATCGTAATTTCTCAGTCCTTCAGGTGTCCAAACCATTGCACGTCAATGTAATGATCCCATTAATGAGTTTGACAGGTTTGACTTGCAACCACTGGGCACAAACAGACGGAAGGATCTTGAGTTCAGTGCCAGTCAACCCACAAAGACTTTGACAGCAACAGTGGCATTATTTACTCACATCGTTTGTATTTTGTTCTAGAACTTGTCGCTTCTTGTTCAACATATGGTTGATTTAGCAGATGTTTTGTTAGATGGTTATGTAAACCAGCTCCAATCATTGAGGTGGGTATCTTATCGTTTGTAGAGGCTCCGTGGTCAGGACTGTTACTTTCATTTGATTGTTTGTTGTGAATGTGTATTGAACCTATAAGTAAGCGGAATATGATCGTCCGGGTGAGAGTAGTCCTAAATAGGACTGTTGTTGACAGTGACTTATGTTTCGACAACCTGTGTGATAGTCATCTTCAGAGTCAAAGTGAGTTGTATCACGTGAGTTGATGGTACTGAACTCTGGTTATTGACCTGATTGATTGATTAAGTCGCGATGTTATTAGTCGTTTGCCAGTTGAGCTGTGCAAAATGTGACTGGTACGTTTTGATCCATCTTTTGGTATAAAAATAATACTCATATTATACATGTATTCGCATTATGCATCTAGGCATATAGAAATAACAGTCGTATTATTTCCGCCGTTCGCATCATCTTCATGTTTCACTCCTTTCACTGGTTAAGATAAACTCAACAATTTGGCCTGCTCGCAATGTGTTGGTCTTCATAGCTCAAATGGTAGAGCACTGCAGCGCTAACGCAGTGGCCATGAGTTCGAATCCCGTTGAAGTCGCGAAATTTTTTTCGGGTTTATTTGCATCGCTTAATTTGCAATTACCACTCCGACGATCATATCTTTTTTTAAGAATTTGTATTTCCGCAGTTCACATCATCTTCAAGTCGTATTATTGTTAGTCAAATTATCGGTTTGTCAAGTCACTATTGTCGGTAATTGCTGGCTTCTGTTCAGGTCAATAGCGAGTTTACGCAACAGGACGGCAGGAAGAAGAGGACGGCCAATTGCTTGTGCGCGACGAACGTGACAGGTTTATTACCTACGTGTTTTCTCGCGATCTTCACTAACATCGATGTTTTCTGGTCTTTTACGAAAAGACCTGTTTAAAGGAAAGTGAAGTTTGGCGAAGTTATTTCAAACAAAATTATTGTCATGCTTGTCACACGAGGTTTGCCCTCTTCTTTCCTCTCCCGTCCTGTTGCGTAAGTTCACTATCCAGAGTTTGATACCATCACCTGACGTGATGCAACTCATTTTGACTCTGAAGACGACTACCGCACAGGTTAGGTCTGTCAGTGTGAACAACAGACGGATTCAGGACTACACCCACCCCGACGATCATATTCCTCATACTTTAGCCTGGGACCAGGCTCCGCATGGGTTGATGAAGGAGAAAAACATCGGCATGCGCAAAAAAAAAAATCGGCGAGCGAAGCGATCCGAGCGGTAGTCTGGGGGGGGGGGGGTGGGGGGGAAGGTGGAGGGGCCCTGCGCGCCCCCTTCCCCCCCCCAGACCCCCCCCCGTCCCCCTTCCCTCCCCGGATTTTTTCCCCCTTCCCCCCCTTTTTTTTTTTTCCCCCTTCCTGGGGCCCTGGGCCCAGGGTCTTGTTCCTTCGTCTTTTTTGTTCAACATATGGTTGATTTAGCAGATGTTTTGTTAGATGGTTATGTAAACCAGCTCCAATCATTGAGGTGGGTATCTTATCGTTTGTAGAGGCTCCGTGGTCAGGACTGTTACTTTCATTTGATTGTTTGAAAGGTGACGGAGCCTGCGCTGCCCCTTTCCCCTCCCCAGACCACCGCTCGTCTCTCTTCGCTCTCCGATATTATTCCCATTTCACCCCGTTTTTGTCTTTTCCCCCTACTGCGGAGCCTGGTCCCAGGCTATGATACTTCTGACTGTTTACTTTAAATATATGACATTGTGTTACCGCAGGAACTGTCCTGGTAAAGAAAACCGTTATGATGAAGTGAGGCAGAAGTATGAACAGGACAGACGCACTGTTATTCTACCACTAGGTACTGTGCATCTAAGCATAATAATATAACAAATAACAACAAAGTCGCCGGACCTGTTTTACCTTCAGCTAGCAAAACGGATATGCTGCTGAGCCTCTATGTACAATATGACTTAAGTCATTTCCTCTTGGAAAAAACCGTTTTTGGTTGGTTTGGTGAATCAACTTTTTTCAACCAGCTTGTAATTTAGTTGAAATGGTTGAAAAGGATGGGTAGCGTCCGCTGATCGATTTAGAGGTATCGATGAAAAACCTGTCAACACTCAATAATGGCGATCTTTATGCACCTTTCAAAGCACTTTATTCAAAAAGAACCAAAACAAAACTTGAAAAGGATCGATGTTTTAAAACTTTAAGTAAAACCACTACAGCATAGATTTAAATATGGTTTATAATTCGAAGGCAAGGTAGCATTTTATTACCCATTCCAGGGTCCTTGGAGGTGTTTGGTTTTTGACTGCAATAATAGTCACTATGAAAGTTGAATGATTGACAATTCTCCAGTCAGGTCATGCAAGAGACTGCGAAGAGAGACGACTGTATTCGCAGGCTATTCATACAAAGTCTACTTAAGAGAAAACCTGTTTCTACGACTCCTCTTCCTTATCCTGTATCCCTGACACCGCTAACAGCCGTAAGAACCATTTTTTTTATACAGGTCATCCACTAAATCGTGAATATCATCCTCATAATAGCCTGTAATGCAAATGCCAGGTCTTCTCCGTTCCCAAAAATGATTCTGCTACATATACCTGTTCATCGGAATCGGCTGATAGCACTTACCGAGACCTTGATTGAGTGTTCTATTTTTCCTTGTTTGGAAGAAAATAACGACAACGACGCCGTCGCAAGGAAAACAGCTTAACATTGTTCTTGTGAATCACGCTTTGCGCGCGCAACCTACAGTAACTGACTAAATGATTTGCGCTAATTTCCAGAATTAATTGTAAGTTCTTGGCCTATGAGAAGACAGATATTGCAATGTATAATAATACAAGTTGTGGTCTTCTCCTCAGTCCATCTAGAGCAGCGGACTCATGCGACTTCCCTGGCTGAGAAGTACCATGACTTTGGAGTTTTGATTGAACTCTGTGAATCAGCTGGTGACCAAGACACCTTACAGCGATATATGACTCAGTTTACTCAGCAGGTAAAACCATTATTGTATAACTAATTGGAACCATGAGCTGCTAGTTTGAAAATTTAACGTCATTTCTATGGTCTGTAAAAGAATTGTTGGCTTTTTTTTTTTACAGTAACCTTGAAGGTTGCTAATGTCCATTTGCCGGGAGAGACAAAGAGACCATAGTTCTCGACCAATCACTGCGCACGTCAATCCCTAACACTTTTACATTGTTGACTTTTATTTGTCATCCATCAGACCGTAGTTAATAAAGTGGAGTCGTTATGAAACCCGTTCGACTCTTGTGTTACATGTTTTTATTAGCTTTTTTAGACTTGACCGTTCTCAACGTTAAAAAGCATTCCTATCTTTTTTAACTTACTGACCAATAGAAACATAACGTTATCTTATTCAGTCACAATTTGTGAACAAAAAACAAAGGAGAGCTTCTAACATAAACTGCAGCACCGTTGTTTTAATCTTTGATCTTTGCCGGCTTTCATAACCAGTCTCCTTTACTAACTATGATCAGGCTAGCATCTATTTGTTTAGTTATTTGTTGTGTATTTGTTAGGCCGCATTTGAATAATGATTTATTAAGTAGACAGAAAGTAAAGTAACGTTTTTAAAGATTTGAACGGTAATCTTTTTGATCCCTTCATAATTTGGTTCGTTTAAACAGCCATTGGACTTACGAAATATGGTAGTTTATTTTGTTGTCCATGTTTGTTGTTTGTTTGTTGTCATGTACGTAGCAGATAATTAAAAATATTATTACTTTTTGCTTCAGGGTTTTTCAGACTACCTATTTAAGTGGTACATGGACAAAGGTATCTAACAATCAGATGGAAAATATACGATAACTAGTCTGTTGTGATTAATTTTACCTTGGAAATAGAAATTCTTTTTGATTCCTAGACGTTTTTTCTCTCCTATCTCTTAAAGGTAGGTAGTTCACCTTTTATTTAAGAAGTAGAACTTTTTTTCTCATTCCATCTTTTGGAAACGTTTCAGTAACTGTAGTATGGGTACCACATAATCTTGGTTGTTAAATATTTTCCTGTTACACCCCGCCTAGGCTCCATTACCAGCTGCTGGTCGGGAAATGAGCCGCGCTTTTCCCCGAAGAAGGCTCTTCTCAGAGAGAAAAACGACTGGACTCGAGAGAGCGGGGAAAATTAACCTTACACCGCCCCACCCTACCCCTCCAACCTCCCCCGACCTACGACACCAAAGTTTCTTTAAAAACTAATCCCTTCAGCATTTCCTCCCCCCCCCACCCCCTTACAAATGGTTAGACTTAGTATTTTTCTTCCTTAATTATTCATATGTGTAGCATAACATTACCCTGGCAGCAGCGGGTTAAATCACGTGAGTATAACACTAGTAATGTATTTGATGTTTAGGAGAACGGCAAAAGCTGATGAGCATCCCTGAACCACAACACCAGGATTTAGCGCGTTTTCTGTCTTCTCATCATCACCTCAGTTGGCTGCATGAAATTAATATCAAGTCTTTCTATCAGGTAATATTAGAACAGTAAGCCGCCATTATATACGTCATGGAAATTTGATCGCACAATACATTCACTGCTTTTCCTTTTTCTCCACAGGCACATGAAACACTAAAAAATCTAGCTGTTGAGGAAGCTTCCTACTTAGGAAAGAAAAAGGTTATACATAATTGCTTCAAACGCTATAAAGTATTTATTATCATCATTGCTATCACTAGTATTATTATTGTTGTTGTTCTTGTCGTATTAATATTTTCTATTTTTTTAAATACAGTACAACAGACTATATGATTAATACTTACCTTGTTTTTATTTTTGGTTTTTGGACAGACACTTTTGAGTCTCAGCAAGTTGGCTCTTTTAGCGTCAGAACAAACTGACGAATCCAAGCTGGAAGGCAAGTGGTACTTAGTAAACGAGACTGTTGAACCGTTTTCGATTTGTGGAACCAACGCCCGCTCGTGGGTTCTATCATGAATAAGATTGTAGTCAGAGGAATTAAAATTTGGTCCATAAACCAGAATGGCCCCTAGACATAAAAACAACTGAAACGGTATACTGTATATGTTCTTCCTATCTCTGACTTAAGTACTAGTGATTGTGTAAAACGACGTGAGCAAGAATGAAACTGTGCTTTCCCCTTAAACACTCAACAGCATAAAGAAAACTATAATTCTGGTGTGTTATATACCGTAAAATCTCCGAAAATATAAAGCCCCTCCAAATATAAGCCCCCTAAACCGCTAACGCAAAAAACCCTCCGTTAAATCGCCCCTCCAAATATAAGGCCCCCGGGGGCTTGTAAGTGGAAAATTGCCCTCAAATACAAAGTAAAACAAAGCAAGAACGGTAAATTTCCTTCCAACTACATAAGGCTAGCCCAATCGATTTTAAAACGAAAATAAGCCCCTCCGAATATAAGCCCCTCTAAAAGGGCCTCTGAAGAATATAAACTTCAGGGCTCGTTTTCGGAATTTTACGGTACCCTTTCCCTTCTTTAGTAAGTTGACTCAAGCAGCAGTGAAACTTCAGTTCGTGTAGTGTGGTAATAAAACTTTTCTTATTTAGAGATCATAACAGAGCAGGACATCATACTACATCAGGAAACACTTCCATCTGCAGTTTTACAGGTGAAACAAAGTGGTTATAATTATAAGTTCACTCTAAAAGGGGCTCATTAGAGCTGAGATTTTCCAGTTTATCCGTTTTAGTTTCAAAAACATGGATGTTGCTATGGTGGGCGCACTCCTTTCCAACGAATAATGTTCTTACAGAGGCATTCTTGACGAGGCCAAGTATATACTGGAAGGGATCTGCAGCATACAGGACAATGCTGTGTAAAAAATATTTTTGTTGTTTAAAACGACAAAGATATCATACAGTAACCGCAAAAGTAACAAGCTATTTGAGAGAAGGAAAAATCCCTCTCATTGTATTGAAACCATAGAGAAATAAAACGTGTTACAAAAACTCATAAAGAAAAACCAAATTGAAGAAATAAACATTAAAATGTTTAATGAGTGTGCTAAAGACAGGGCTAAACTATATGTCCAGTTTTTTAGACCAAAATAACCCCAAATCTAAATATTAGTGCAAGAATGAGTTGATCGATATCAGAGATTTTGAAGCCTTGAGTTTTTAAATCTGATAATACACTCCTGCTCGTCTATTAAACAGTACTTAACATGTATAGCAGGGACCTTGGACGGATACCATAGCCTCCTTCATTGATGTTCAATTAATATGCAATAATTCACCTTGCTGTAATGAGCTAAAAGGACGTCCGGCCTTACGCCAGGGCATCATTAGCCTCAACAATCAAACCAAGCAGTGCAGCCTCAAGGAATTGGCACTTTATACTAAACGTTTTAAATTACAAACTTTCATTTTTTGATTAATGTAATTTTTTATTCAAAAAGTTATCGCCTAGGGACAGCTTTTAAATTCATAGATCATAGACAGTAAGGAAAAGTAACTTGTCTTTTTTAAAACTGAGTTGTTTTATTTCCTTTAGCAAGCTGGTATGGATGTTGACTGCATGGCCCCTCTTTCTCCTACTCATCTTATTGAGGTAAAATCTCGCTGGTTCTGTTTGTATCGTCCAAGTTTAGAATGCAGTCATTTTCTATATTTATACCTACTCACTAACCGACAGATTGACTGACATGCTATCCTGATATCAAAACCATCCAAAATATTATAAAGATCATTTTAACAGTAGGCTCCGGCCTACGTGCAGTATGGACCCTTCGCCGCTCACATCCACTAAAGTTTATTCCACTTCAAGTATTGTGCGACCCGTATAAATTCAGGTTTTGGCCTAGCGCGACTAATGATTAAAACAACTTACTTGAAACAAATAGCAACTTTGGACACCTTTTTCACAGTTTTCACGGGCTTTGCGGTTCACGAACCTGCGTCACACTTTACATGGCCGTTTAAAATATGTACCGCGGCGGTCTTCATTGTGCTCACAAAGAGTTACATATTACTCCTGGCTGAAGAACCTATATTTAGAACCAGTGGTTTATTGAATTATTGAAGGTACTAAATTGATCTTTTTCCAAAATGTGGTCAGATTAACATTAGAGACCTTTAGATTAGTGCACCCGCGTGAACTAGCAACATTTTGGCAGGAAAACGCGATAGTCGTCGTTATTTTACCTGGGACTACTAAAGGTTTTAGCGAGAATAATGAACTTAAGCGATAGAGCGTTTTCACCTGACGTTGTTCTGTCGCACTTTGTACTAAAATTGTCGCACTTTGTGATACCTGTTGCACTTTGTAATAAAAGAGCCGTCGCACTTAGTAATAACACCTTTCGAACTTTGTAATAAACTTGAAAAATATGGTCGGAGGACAAGTATCATCGTCGGCGACAACAAGAAACAACAACAACAACAACAGTAATAATAATAATTTTAATACCAACATTCCACTGAACGGTTTTCAGCACCAATTTCTCAAGTGGGGGTGGAGGAAAGTACTCACATCAACTGCGTCCTTCCGGCTTCAAGGTCTTTGTAGGAAAGTACAACTATTTCTATGCGGACGACATCGGGACCATGAGATAGTGTCCATAACAGCTAGAGTCCGCAATGATGGGATTTTGTATTGGAATTTAGCTGCTATCCGTAAAAACGGGTTTTCCATAAAGGTAAGGTGTCCTTGACTGCTTTAGTAGTAGCAGGGGCAACGAAGAAATCCGGTTTCATTACCTGCGAGGACATGACCAGAGATATAACGAGATTTTAGTGTTTATTGCCATGATTAAGCACTATCATAATATTTCATAGGATCAAAAAAGAACAGAAACATCGAGCACAACACGGTGCCAAAATCATTATCATCATCAGACAATCATCATCATCATCACCATTCTTATTCCTGTTATTATCGCACTATTGCATATCATTTGCCCACGTCATTGTGCCACGGTGACTGCTAAAATTTTGTGGAAATTTTGAATGCGCTAGAGCCAACATGAAACGAAATAGATTCATAATAATCAGAAAATGCGACATCGCAAAGTGTGGCCCAGCTAAGATAACCAAAAGTAAAAAATCCAAACACGAAAAGCAAATCTTAAGTACAATGATACTAACAAAAGATCTCAGGCTCGAACGTTTATGCTCAAGTTTCATCTTCTATGTAAGTTGTAACTAAGCATTTTTTGCCTTTTGCTGCCACACGTTCTTTTTCTCTAGCTAAATATTGAGGTGTCTTTGCTTAGAGCTTTGAAGTATGTTACTTGTTTCGCCAAGATATGTCGGTGATGATAAACCAACGCAGTACCATTCAAGCATTCGCCCATTTTTGATTGGAGATTATTCGCCGTAATTCAAACACGACACCAGTTGAAGGCCCAAACATTCTTATGAGTATATTTTTAACGCTGACATTTCCTGCTACCCCGCCACAGGAGAAGTAAATACGCGGCAGAATCTGAAAAGCCATCCTATAGGTCACGAAAACGAGTATTAACTTGACATCTGTGGGTAGGCCATGAAAAGGTTCCAGATCCTTCTTTAACAATGAATGACGTCATTGTTTACGATAATCAAATGTGTTTGCCAACTTCTTGATTTTGTCAGACACCTTACTATTTGAGTATTTTTCGCTTCGAAGGAAAAATTACGGAATTGGATTTTACCAACAAATTCAACAACATAACTTCATAATGACATCAAATTACTTCATTGTGTCAAATTAATGCCTAGATGGTCGGGAAATAAATAGTAGATTATTTTGTGTTATTGTGGTGGCCGTTTTATGAGTGGCCCTTATATGAATAATAATCGTCATGAAACATCCACAATAATAATAACAATTAACAATTATTACTGTTATTGTTATTATTATTATTGTTGCTGTTGTTGATATCGATGATGATACTTATTATTTATTGGGTTTACTTGTCCTCCGACCATATTTTGAAGTGTATCACAAGGTGCGACAAGTGTTATTACAGAGTGCGACAAGTGTTATTACAAAGTGCGACAAGTGTTATTACAAAGTGCGACAAGTGTTATTACAAAGTGCGACAAGTGTTATTACAAAGTACGACAAGTGTTATTACAAAGTGCGATATAGGTATTAAAAAGTGCAACAGAAGAGAGGTCACGGCGGTCATGTTGGTGTTCCATCCAAACCAATCCTGTGTAGTGGGAGTTGAATTCCTTTCTTATGTAAACGCTTTCTTTTGTTCCAAGAAGTTTGCAGAGATGCTGGCCAAGTGAGTGGAAACGCTCTATAGGACACCAGAGGAAAGAACAAACTTCCCCTTCCTTGAAACAGAATTTTTAGTAAAAGACCAGAACACAGTAATGCCCGATGGGGTACTCCTGGGAATTCTTGGTGGGAAGGGCCGCCCGGTCTCCAAATCCTGACCCTACTTCAGACCAAAAAATGTAATTTTCCACACCCGTTTTCAGACTAGACCGCTAAAATCCATACCGTTTTCAGACCTGGCCTTTCGGCAGAAATAATGTTATCATTACTTAGATTATTGCACGAACAAAAAAATTCTTCAAATCCATTTCGAATTCACAAATTTCTCCTTCTTTCTTACCCACTTGGAATTGAAACGATAAATACGTTCATACACTCCGACTCGTGGTTCCCTCAAAAACTATACCTGATTCCAGACCAAAATGGGCAAAGTGTATACCCCTTTGCAGACCAAAACGGCGCAAAAACCCTACCCAATGGGGCGGCACATACCTACATAGCTTATAAAAAGGAGTAGTGCTGAGTGCAGATCACAAAAAAACGCGCAAGTAATAGCTCTTTCACATTTGTCACACACAGCGGTTTGGCCGTATTCCTCTTTCTACCGTACTGTTGCGTCAAGCCCACTAATGTTTTAGTGGCGGGAACAAATAATCAAATGTTAGAAGTTTTATCACTTTGCGATCAGGACAGGGCTTAACATCCTTCAGTAAAAAGAAACGCGCAAATTTTTCTGGTAAAAAAGCGGAAAATGAACCTTTCCTGGGTTTCTATATTTTTAAAAAACACGTCAAATCAAATACAGTCGTCTTGGTAGTCGTCCTCGTCGTAGGATCGAAAGGTCTCGAATAGCTGCGCTTAGAGAACAAACTTTCGTGGGTGCGTTATTCTTTTGGTCCCGTCGAACGTTGGAACTGACAAACTCACTACTGTTTAATACCGTTTCATGTCTTAAATGAGGGTAACTTCTTCTAACATGTATGTTTGCTTTAATGATAATCGCAGCTACATATTGGAGAACAAAACCCAGGAGCCAATGAATACGATTTCAAAAGAGCTCTGGATATTCTTCATCTAGCCACCACGGTAGATACATCTTCTTTTACTTACAGTAATTTTTTTTTCGTATAAAATGAGAGCTGGTTAACTTATAAGTACTTAAAACTAGACGTTCCTGGTTTTCATCAGTGTTTTGATTGTAATGTTTTCAACAGAGTGGCCGTTATGGCATGGATACTGCAGCGCTCAAGCTTCACATCTGGTGCAAAGCTCTTCTTAGAGACGAGTAAGATGAGTGATTGTCCAGTTATAGTTGTTTTCGACAACAAGTGACTTTTTAACAACCAAACTGGTCTTTAAAAGGAAAAGTTAATTTAAAGAAGTCGCACGAGGTTTGTTTCGTCGACTTCATGTCATCAGTGTCAAAAGTGAAGAAATTAGAGTGCACATATATGAATACAGAAAAGGAATTGAAAATGGAGAAAGTAATGGACAATTTAATTATAAGTTTCTCTTTGATAGAGGCCGCCCGAGTGTTTAGTGTCGGTCTTTGTACAATTGGCGTCAGTTGTATTGCTATCAGCAAATTGGTCAACGGTCGCTGGAGAATTATCTGGGGAATTTAAGCCAATCACCTCATTTTGTGGACTTGTCACTGAAAATGGCTTATTTAACCTTTCTGTCCTTTGATATCTTTTATATATCCACAGTTATTTTCTACTTTCATTTGACTCTCAGTCGCAATCTCGGCTGAAGTTTTTGTGGGTAATTGGTTTATATGAATGTTTCTAATCTAAATGGTAAACATAACTGTTTATGTTTTTGTGTACAGTTGGGGCTCCTTTCCGGCTAAAGATCCTTTATTGACTGCCAGGAATACTGTTTTCTTCAGAACTGTTGAACTTGCTTATAATCAAGGTACGTTATTTTATGGTGGCGGCTTACTGCCGATGTCATTGTGAAGCGTTTATGACAATTTTTAAAATTTGAACAGAAGGACGACTCGCTTAATACGGACACTGTCCATGGTCCACTCAGTGTCCGTTTTGAGTAGGTTTGAATGTACTTAATGAGTATCGCGATAGCCTCTAGTACGAAACTGGAGATTTGCTCTTATAAGGGAGATTCTTCGCCTACCCAGGGGTACCCCGGCCAGTTCCACCGAAAACGGGCTCTACTAATACTAGTTCTTTCCTGGCTTTGAAATAAGTAGCGCGAACAAGCAACTGATGACTTGCAACCAAATAGTACGAATAACAGGTTTCTGTTGGTTTCATTTGATTGCTAAAATCGTTTCATTCTTGCATTTCAATTGCTCGTTGAGTTGTTTGTTCGTTTGCTGTCTTTGCTTTGATCCACCACTAATAAGGATCATTTTTTTTATATAGGTGATAAGAATTCATATCGAATAGCTTTTAAAAATTCTTCTCGTAATTATTATTTAGTGTCGAATCATTGTTTATTATTACTATTATTATTATTATTATTATTATGATCATCATCATGATTATTATTTTACTTATTTTATTGTGTATTATTATTTTCGCTAACTGTTACCAGTGTCGCTTGTTTCTAGGTATAGAGCTGGAAGAATTTATGCCTTCTTTGGAGAGTTTGTTCGAAGCAGAACAACTAAAAGATGCTGGGCTTTCTGAAAACCCACAGTTTCGTTACCTTCTAAAGTCTGGATATGAGCAAATAAATAGAGTCGCAGCTGTGGTTAGCATTTGAGTTGTGCCTTGTCTAGAAGCAGCCTTTAAACATTGAACTGTAAAATAATTACACTTGTACAAAGAGGAAAATAAGAACAACGAGAACTTTCAGTACTTGCTTGCTTGCTTGTTTGCTTTACTTTCTTAAAATTTACCTGCTGTTAGTCAATAGCTTATTTACCCAGCAATTGTTTTATTTTTCTCCTTGAAAATTTTGTTCATTTTTTTCGTTAGGCTCGCGTAAAACAAACACAAAATGACCCATGTGCCCCGTCTCAGTCACACCAGGAAAGAATAGCAATGACTTACTTTACACGTAGGAGTTAAATTGTACCCTCCATGTCGGACTGGAAATGGCAATGGGTAGTGTTTATTATTTCAGCGACATCTAGGAGGGTTACACCCCATTTCATATTCCCACTCAGACTAGAAAGATACGCGGGCTGGGACCTATCATGACGTACAATCCTCGACAAAAATCTTTGAAACACCCATACACTTTTCTTTCCCTCTGCAATGTTGAGATGTGATTACAAAGTTACGCAGCTACCAAGACATTGCCAAAGGAAGGGAGAGAAACTAAAGGGAGTGAAATTTTTCTAAGTATTTAAGCTTTCAAATAGCAGAGCGCGGGCGAAAAATAGAACGAGGGGAGACTACAGACCTACTCCACTCTCCCTCTTCCTCTCTCAGTCCTTTTTTTATCATCCACTCTCCATTTCCGGCCACTCTCCAATATCTGAGCCCCTCGGACAGGCTAAATTATGACTTACCTACACAGGCCGCCACTTCCGGTCGACGTCGTAGTTCTGTGTACTGACAGTCTTTCGACTCTCTAAACGTGACCAATGAGCTTTTGGTATTTTAATCAATTTTCGTGCCTCAAAAATAATATTTTCTTCTACCCAAAATAACAGTAAGGGAAAAGTTCAAGACCCCGTCAATTCTTGACGTAGAATAACGTTTTTAAGTCCACTGAAACAGTTCAATAAACACACTGAAAGTGAAACTTCGACAAGGTTGAGGTACGTTTGTGGAAGGCTTGAGTTAGGCTTCTCAATTCCTTTACACAAAACTCAGAAGTCGAAAGGTAGATCTCAGAAGTCGGAAGTTAACACTCATGTGGAAGTCGGAAGTGGAAACTCGTGCGGACGTGGGAAGTCGAAAGTCGAAAGTGAGGACTCTGTAAGAACTCAAAATGGGGAAGTCGCAACTCAGAATAGCCTGTTCCAGGCGTTCAGATAGTGGGGAGCGGTGCGAAGAAATAAACTTTTCATCGCTATCTTTACTTCGCACCGCTCTCCACTATCTGAACGCTTGGAACAGGCTAAACTCAGAAGTGCACACTTTGCTTTTTCTTTTCTTATCTTCTTACTTTTTATATGAGAATGTTCTTTTTCCGGCCTAGGCTGAATATTCTTATTTTCCGCCGATTTCAGGCTAAAATTATTTAACAATTATCGGACGAGGTTGAACAAAATATCATGATTTGTTATTTGCGAGTAAATCAATTTAATGCCGAAGCAAAAAATAACATTAATATTTGCCCGTCAATTGCAGGCCACATGGTGGGCTCTTGGCCAATGAAAAGAAAGAAAAATTTGCTACGAATGATAATAGTATCCACATTACCACAAGTAACCTCAACGTGTTTCTACTTCTTCTGGTGCCTAAAGAAAGAGAATAATAACACGAGTGAATGTCATCCTCAGTGTATCTATTGCACTTCTATCTTGACAATAAAAAGTAACGCGTTGGGATCACGAAAAAGGTGACCTCGACCGCTCATTTGTCATATGGTGCAGTCGCTTGGGGACAAGCGGCCAAGACTCATGCTAACCAATTATTTTTGCTGCAAACGCGTGCACTTCTTTTGATGTCCGTTATACAGCCGTTATACAGCTCACACGATTCCATATCGTTTGTCCTCTAATATTCTACCTCTAAACATGCTCAATTTCAAATCAGTTGCTTTTCTCATATAACATGCACGATATCACAAACAATTTAGCACCACAAAATATTTTACGCGTATTTACGTCTTATTCAACACTACTGATCAAGTACACGCTTATAACCGACTATAGATCCTTCTACACGGGTGATTACGAAATTAAATTTTCAAGATTGGATAAACAAGGCAAATCATTTTTTTTCAGATTGGAGGCCAAAATATGGAATTACAAACCTTCGAGTATTTGAAAACTCCGATTGCTTTAATACTTCAAATCCTTTCACAGACAGACTACTATCCTGCAACATATTCACAATCGTCCGTAACTCACCCCCTCATTATCTTTGCAATCGTCTTCTGATAGTGTACTTGTATATATTGCATTCCAGTTAACCTCAGCATTGTTTTTAATTTAACTTTTTTTCTGTTTTTTTTTATACAATTTGAAGAGCCTATTTCGTTTTTTATATGTAGACACTGTCCACCTAGACTAGCCTATTTGTGGCTGAGTGAGGAAATAAAATTGTAAATTTGGATTAACCAATAAAAATAAATGAATGAAAAAATGAACGAATGAAGAGGTGACCGCTTTATAAAGGTCAGTTTTACATTAATTAAGTGAAATAATTTCCGGGCCTTGAAAGTGGCCGCTTCAGAGGTAGCCCGTATACTGAGCCGCCCCCTCCCCTGAAAAAAACATTGAGGAGAGAGATGGATCTTTTCTGAGGGAATGGGGGCGTCTGTACACAGGCTATTTCATAATAAAGTGACTGCTTAATGCAGGTCCGGTTAATATAGTTAATAATGATCAATTTAAAAAAAAATCAATTCTCAGAAGTAAAAAAAAATCGTAAGAATTTGGTGAGAATTAATAGTTGCTCAGCAACGGTGACTGATCCCGATTTGCTGCTTTGCTCATCATTAAAACCTATTGCTTTTCGATGCCGTCGCCGTCAAGGTTTATGAAGCTCCCTCATACAACGGCACGCGACTGCATGCTTTCTGCTCATGAACCCGGGATCCCATAAATCACTGGAACGTGTAAAACACTTATTAAGAAGAAAAGCATGCTATAAACATATGCAGCCATCTGGGCGTCACATCCGGATCAAAGAAGGTTTTTAAAATACCAATCCCTAAAAGGACTTTGGAATAATAAGAATGTTGGCGTGGTCATCAGACCCCACGCTCGAATTTTACGAAGATTGTAATATGTAATACGAAGATTACCGAATATTCCCGAAAAAGCTTTCGTTCTTTTTTCGTTGAATTCACGTGACCATATACCGTCCGAGGAAATGGAATCGACAATTTGAAGGTCACGAACTTTGCATTGATCCAAAACGCTGTGTATTTTTATTCCGACGAATTCGCGAAAACTGTGTTTTCCCATTCAATATATTGTATCATGTTCTTCAGCTAAAAATTACACGGAGGAAACGCTTAGGGCCGGAAGTGATTGACAATTGTTATTTTGGTCGTAGAGGCCGTGAAGAATCTCTCGTCATTGGGAGCTTGTGTGTGTTCATTTGCTCGTTCGACAGTACACTGTGTTTGAAATCATTCTCACCTTGCATACTGAAGAATAAGTGAATTTAAGAAATGAGCAACCTTGGTAAGAAGTCGAATTGGAGTTTGTCTGTTTACATTACTAATTTGAGCACTGAGAAGTCTGTAGAAGTCAATGGAGAAACTCACATCGGAAAGCTCATGTTGGACCTTGTTGAAGGACTAGGTAAGTCTGCTGCTCTGTGTGATTCAATCCTGTCGACTTTTGCGCGGGTGTGGTGCCATTAAAATGTGTAGAAGAGAAAAACCTGTTCCGTGACGTTTAGTTTTGTGTTAAGAGTTGTTGATCCTGCTGACATTCGAAGTATTTGTTAACGTCCTGTGTGTTGGAATTTAAAAGCAATAGCGTCTACGTAACGCTGTGTTAAACCCATCGCGATCAAATTAATTTAGCTTACTTTTCTTTGTCATATCCTTGTACATAAGTGTAATCATTTTTTTAGCAGACCTTTTATTTATTCTTGTAGACATAGCGGCTGATTGGTCTGATCATGGATTGTGGTGGCCCCAAAAACGACTGTGGCTTGTGAAACCCCGCTTAACTTTAGACACAATCGGTGTGCAAGGCGACGCTAAACTTCAGTTTACTCCAACTCATAAAAAGGTTCGTGTTCAGTTACCCGACTTGCAGTTTGTGGAAGTTTCTCTGGACTTTTCTAAGCCTGTTTTCCACGCCGTGCAAGAACTTTGTGCCGAATTGGGAATTAGACATCCCGAGGAACTATCTCTGCTCAAACCGTTCGAGGGATCAAGAAAAGAAGAGCGAAAAACTGTTCGTGGTAAATCAAAGAAGAGACATTCACTCTCCTCCAGCTCGGACGACAATTTATCGGCTAACAGCGACGACAAAACTAGAGGAAGCAAGGACAGTTTAAATGTGCCGAATTATAATTCACTTCCAAGGCACGGTTACGCTTCACCGAACGGCAGTGTTGGTTCCTCCACACCTGGATCTTTATCGCCTTTCACTTCGAACAGCCCGTGTGGAACGATCGAAACAACTTCGTTAGCTTGTAGCCCCGTGGCACCTTCTCAGGAAGCAGTTGCCTCTTTATTCAAGCCCAAAACATTTACAGAAAAGGCTGTAGTGAACAAAGGGTATGTACAATTTGTAGATAATCAATTATATATTAGTTGGATCCATTTTCATCAATCATGCACTTTTGTTTTATCGAGTGGCTCACCAATTGCTTCAACAAATATTGCATCACGAGCGTATTTTGTAGGTTAAGATGCAAGGAGTTTATTGATCTACACCGTTCTAGCTACAGGCACTGATTTCTTGAGTTTTTTACTGGTCAGATCTCATCAGTTAGTAAACATTTTGTGTGCAGGTCAGCTACAGGGTAGATTGCACAATGCATACTGTTACAACCCAGGGGAATACAGCTGAGAGCGCAACTGGTCTTTAATAGCCTGAATTTTGGCGTGTGAACTCAAATATACTTCAGAGCTACTTTCTTTGGTTTTTGCTCAGTTTGAGAGCAACAACCAAAACCTGTCCTTTTCTCCATGCTTCCCTTGCTTCACTCCATGTGAAAACTTGTAGGGACCAGTGGACAATTCAACTCTGGCAAGTAGAACACTAGCCTGTTTCAAGCATCCAGATAGTAGGGGAGTTTCGTATTCGGCGAGTCCTTGTATTTGTGTGAAAGTAAGGCCCATGCGGGACACTTCTCACCAAGAATATAAACAAGCATGAGAAAACTGTGGCTGAGTTGCCGAAAAAAAAGGAAATTTGAAATGTTAAAAGGTTTTGTAGGTCTGAAAACTTACTTACAGGCTTGAGAAATCATTGTTTCAAACAGCAAAAGGAAGATCAACTCTTCATCACTGAGAAAACAACAAGCCTAACCAGAAATTGACCAAAATAGTGGCCGGTGAGTGAGTTCAATAAAAATCAGTAGATGTTTTCAAAATCCTTTAACAAGGTAACACCTTGAAGCCATTTCAATTTTCTTTTCAGTGATGGTTAAAACTTTTTTAAGCCGTAACTTTCACTGGAGTGTCGAAAGCCTCCAAGTTAACCTGAAACCTTCATTTTAAATGACTTTTTGTTAATGAAGCAAATGCAAGATCTTGTGTGTTTAAAAAAATAATAATAAGATGATGGGCCAGTTCCTTGCACTGTAAGGAAGTTAAATCGGTTTAAATGAAGATGACTAAAATGGTATAAGTTTATTTATACATAAGCTTGCATTTAGCCTACATTATTTATCAAAATATTCAGTCCCATAAAGAAAGACATATGCACATTTCACTCAACAAGGACTCTAACACAGAATCTTTCACAGATATACACAAGAGTAAAATAGCATACTAAGAAGTAACATAATTAAAAGGAAACAAAATATTTTCGTTTTAACACACTTTACCCTTTTCAAGCTAAGAAAGTTCAAGAGCATACTTCTTCTTTTGGCTTCATCGCTTTTTTCCTTTCTTCTGTAATTACGACCAGCTTTTCCCACAATTTTGTTGTTTGCAACAGATATCCCTTTGGCTTACTGGTAAAGAACAAGCTTTGAAATCTTACTATTTTGAAAATTTCTATCGTTTTCCAGCAACTCAGCGGCAAATTACCCATGTTTGTTTTTGTTTTTGCAAAGAAGTTGACCCACATTAGCCTCGCCATCGTGCTCGTCCCAGGGCCACAGGAAAGTGTGGACAAATTGTCTGTGAATTACGAAAAGCAGGAAGTAAAAGATGGTGTGCCTTAAAAGTTGGCCGTAGAAACATTCATCTGCATATTTCAAGAGCCTGTTGTATTATCAGGTTCAAGTTAGTCTTAGGACATCCTCTGTTAAGGTGGCTCAATGGGATTTTTCAGGGTCAGCACCTCCCAAGTTTGGGCATAATCCACATTGCCATCAACAAAGATTTGGAAAAATTAGCTCTACAGCTGTATTAGATAAAAATGAAAATTGTGTTGTGGTCAGGGTTACAATGACATCAGAGTTGTAATAGGAACAAAATGATGCCATTACCTATTTTACTTGGAGCCGTATCTCAACAGTGGGAATTTTTTCTTCCAAAATTGTTCACTTGAGCTTTTTCCTCCAATAGCCACCCTGATGTTCGTGAAGTTTGAGTGAAATCTGTAAGGAGAACATTATCGCGATATTTTGGGATGAAGATTTTATGGTTAGAAATACTGTAGAGACTGGACACTCTTGATGTTTGCTAGTTATCTTTAGAAAACAAACACTTTTGAAATACAATATTTCACCTCATAGTAGTTTCATTCTTCTTATAAACAAGTGTGAAAGATCATGGAGATAGCTTTAGCTGATTGCTAGAAATTTAAGAAGGATTTGATTAGCATGTATCAAGGCACTCTTGTTAGCAGTTCTGTTAACATTTTGGTCTACTTAAACAGATAAGCAAATAATTTTGAAACCGCTGGATAGATTTTTTTTTAATTTGAGATTTTTGAGATTAACGGCGGTTTTATATGACCTTTGAGTTTCAAGATAAGATTATTGATAACTTATAAGGCAGTAAATAAGGGCTACAATTTGCTAATTTTTTGTCAGAAATTACGTGTTTACAAGTGAGAGCCTCTCATTATTCAGGGGTATGGTCTCCAAGTTTCATATATTTGTGACAACAATAGTTTACATCTCTGCATATTTCAAATGCATTGTTACTTACTGCTGTTCACGTGTTAATGAAATTTATGAACAAATACAGTCAAACCTTGATTATCTGGACTCATTAGGACTTGAATAAATAGTCCAGATAATCGAAGATGTAAATATTATATGATGTAAACATTTTTGGAAGCAAAACATATTAAAACAGTGTTTTAAACACACATTTGGAAGGATTAATGAACTTTTAATCGCTTCACTTTTTTGACCAGGGAAACAAGTCCAGATCAAAGTTTGACTCTACTCTGCAAAGTTTATTGCGGGGCGCTCTTGTCTTGTGATTTTGAAATACTCACTCTGCAATTCTCTCATATTGATCTCAAATATGTAAAATTGAGATTTTGCTTGGTGACTCTTTGGTGAGGGTTTTTAGGCAATTTATGTTCTACAACATGTTAGACAATTTCCGAAGAATTTTCGAAGTCTAACACATTGTATGTACTTACATGTACAGAGTAATATATAGGCTCGTTTTTATTAAGATAGTTGAATGGTTACAACAAGTGATGCATCAATACCTAAATGTTGTCATTGTTATCATTCTTGCAGGTAGTTACATGTAATATATACTGTTGATGTCACTTTGTTCTTTTATTAAGACTTGGTGTTACGTAGCCTGAACAGCAGACAAAACTAAGCTTCTTGTTAAAAACTAAGCTTCTTGTTAAGTCCATCTACGAAACAGCACCAAAATCCTTATTCTCGGCCCCCACCTGGGTATCAGGATTTGAGTATGCAGCGTGATTGGCCTAACAAAAAAGGCCATTGTGGATTTGCCAGTCAACTTAGTGGAAAATTCAAAATGCATTTCCCATAATTTATTGAGTCCATTGCGGGCCCAGAACAAGGATATTGACACTGCTTAGCAGACATTACTAACCAGCACTGGATTACATCTTGTAGACTTGGTGTTAAATTGTCTCTGATATTTTCTTTTTCTCTCCATCAGATGGCTAGATTCATCAAAGTCTCTTATGGCTCAGGTATAAATGCTTGCTGTGTTATACAATAAATTGCTGTATTATTATTATTATTATTATTATTATTATTATTTTATTATTATTATTATTTTTATACAATAAATTTATTATTTAAATTATTTCCAAGAAGCCATTTGATGCTCACACTGATCGTATATTATAAGTTTGCAAATACTGAAATTATCTGAAATTTACAAGTTTTTTTTTTTTTTTTCAAGTTGGAAAGTTTATTGATTTTATTATATTTTTTTTTTTAATTTTTTTTATTTTTTTTTTTTTTTTTTTTTTTGTTTTTTTATTATAAATTTTAAAATTTTTAAATTTTTTTAAATTTATTTTTTTTTTTTTTTTTTTTCAAGTTGGAAAGTTTATTACTCGAGCTTGTTTGAGCAGAGCGAGACTCTTAAAATGCAGTCGTTTTTTTTTTTTCGTTGGTGGGACCTAGTTTGTAGGCCCCGCGTTCCTAGCGAAGACTGTGGAAACAGGGGATAAGAATCGTGACGACTTTCATTGTATGGAAATGAGTCTCGTGATGAGAATGCAGTTTATTTTTGGCGATGACTGAAATGACGCATGTAAGTTTGGCAATGACGTAATTTTCCTCGAATGGAGGCTCTTGATTTTCATGTAATTATGTACGACATGCAGGCACTTTAAAAAGGAAAGGATGAGAAAATATTATAGCGGGGAAATCAGGATTTTGTGGCTTTTTAAGGCATTACGTTTCTCAGAATATTGTCGCAATTACAGGAAATGTACAGTTAAATAGATTCACTTTGTTTTATGTATTTAATTGATAGATTTTCGTAGTTGTTACAATGTGAAGTTGTGTTGCACTTCATAAATACTTGAGATATGAAGTATCCACTGTCACGTTATTTTACGAGCGCATGTGCGTAAAATTTGCGTTCGCAAATAAAATAAAGGCAATGTATGAAAGGCCGCACGTACAATTATGTAAGCGTAAAAGTAGAAACTCGCTTAATTTGACGTTTAATCTCAATACTTTATGTCTTACCTCTATTTGATTTACATGATTAAAATTTACGTGCGCTAACGTGTGGAGCCAAAAACGCATCAGTGGAAATCCACCCTATTGTGTCATGGATGTGTTTATACGGGTAGCTTTGAACTTGACTAACCGCACACTCTACCTGCAGCACTTCATGTCCATAGTTAATAGAAATCCCATATCGAGCTTTTCCAGAACGCGTTGGTCCAAGAATTCTATCGCTTGAAAGTGTTGGTTATTTTGGAACCACTGATCACTTCAGTGGTTAAAAAAAAAAGAAGAAACTTAATGAGCAAAACTTCAAGGTGTACTGGAAAATCAGGATCGAGGATCGAGAAATCAGGGATCAAGGATCGGTTAAAAAGAACTTGAAAATAAAATAAATAAATAAATTGTGGATCAGTGGTGATGTGGGCCGCAGACTGTAGATAAATTTCAAAGAACGTAACCCCGTTCGCTGTACAAAACACTAAATTCAAGTAAACTAATCCGAGTCTGTCTAAGTCAGTGATTGTTTTGACGAGAAAGTGAAATTTTCCAGGAAAATGAAACACTTTATCCCGGTGATACTGTAATACAAGAAAAAACTTAAACAGTTTTTAATTTTTAAGTGTACATTTGCTTTCAGTACTCCTTATTTTTCTTGTAATTGTTGTATTCATGACCCCACCAGCAAGGCTGATCTTTTTATCGTGCTGTAAACTAAGGTTCTTACCTGCCTACCTACCTATCTATCTATCTGTGTATCTATCTATCTGTCTGTCTGTCTGTCTGTCTGTCTATCTATCTACTATCTGCCTATCTATCTATCTATCTAAAATGCATGCTGTGTACAACTCTAAACATTGTACTCTGAGACTGTACAGAGATATTAAAAGAAGATACTAAGCAGCTATGGAAAATGTCATTACTTTCACGCGATATTGATATCTTATAAAACAGACAACAAATTCAGCAGGAATACGCGCGAACTGAATTAACTGTGTGTTGTATAAGGTTCTGTTAAACTTACTCGTTTTCCTGTGCTGAACATATACTGTACCGAGCCATATCTTGGTCCGGTACAAGGAAGCTATGTATATTTATACTGACAGAGTCATGGGCCCCTGATACCGATAAAAATCATCGTTCAATTTTCTGAGTGTAATACTCCTCAATGGAGAAGGTTTTCAAAGGTTTCACACCGGTTTGAGGCTAAGATGTGCAGCCTGTCTCTCCTTGCAATTTTTACTTTTTGAGTTTATACATTATGACTTACAACACTCGTTTTGTATTCCAAACGAAAAAGTAGTATAACAGCACCAGGGCCTTTGACAACAAAACTCATCTCCAAGCAAGCGAGACTCAATGCTACTACGAACGTTCTTGTGTATTCTTATAAAATAGGCCTGCTCTCTTCTGTATTCAAAGAAATGTTTTTTAAGATAAATCAAGTTCATTCCTATAACACCAGAAATTCAAATACTTTCTACTTTTTTCCTGCACAAACGACTATAAGACTTTTTGGTATAAGATTTCAGGGTCCTAAATTTTTCATTTTTCAAGTCCATTCATCACTTAGAAGGTGCTTGTGGTCTATCAGCAGAGGATCTTGCGAACCACATCAACACAGCTTTCTAAGCTCCAGTGGAGGATTTTGAACCACTCACCCACAACCCATTTAGGGGGGATGTTATTTTGTCTTCGAGCAGAACTGTAAATGATGATTTTTCACCAGTATCAGAGTTATCTGTCCTTAAAAACAGGGCTCGAAATTAAAAAAATCCTTAGGTCTCCTTTTGGCGACCAACCTGAGAAATATAGTTGCCACATGCAAATTTTTAGTCGCCAGGTTGTATAATGTAAATGACGCAGCTCATAGTATCTGGGCTTCTGATATTCAGCGCGGTCGCGGAGCCACGAAATTCAGGTAAACCCGCGAAATTAGCTAGAAATCTTATCAAATACATATCGATACAACATATTTGAAACTTATCTCGGGCGGCTATTGGGGCTGTTCAATTGCTCCAAACTTGCAAATTTATCTGGAAACTTCATCACCACAATGAGTGAACAACGTCCCAAAACTACCAGGCGTAAAATATGTTGCAAAAAACTGGGCACTAGTCATGATGTTGAAAGCTTTGCCTTTGGTTCATTTGTCGAGCTCTTTGTTGTTAGAACTCTGTTAAAAACGTTAAACACGCTCGTCAAATCTGTGCAAAATTGATTGATTTCTAGCGACATTTGCCCAGAAAATTCGCAAGAAATTGGCCATTTTTTACCAATTGTTTTTTAACAAACTTAGCCTCGAAAACTTTGGCAAATCTGTCTCTGAAAATCCCGCGAAATTTGACTTCCGCAACCTATCAGAAGCCCTGTAGTAGGGTGAGATCCATCAGATCTGATTGTTTGAAAATATCGCGGACAGAAGTCGGTATAAATTGGAGGTGAACTGGCTTTGTTTATGCGACTTGGCACATTTTTTATGACAAAGCAAAGCAAGATAAGATGAAATGTTTGTTTTAACTTTACTCTTTTAATTTAAATCTAAATCATAGAGAAATCTGGTCGCCAAAGTGGCAACTAAACCAGAATTTTTAGTCACCAAGGAGAAAACGTTAGTCGCATTGGCGACCGTATCAGTCGCAATTTCGAGCCTTGAAAAAGTCATGCTCTGTTAACCCAGCCAAGGCACAAGGACCGGACAGTATTTCCGGATGGCTTTTAAAGGAGAACGCGGACCTTTTGAACCCACCCCCACCCATCATGGATATCATGAATATCTCCTTTTGTGAAGGCTGGCTGCCCCTTATCTTGGAAAGGAGCAGATATCATCCCTGTCCCCAAACAAAGACTTATCCAAGACATCAACAAGCACCTTTGCCCCATTTCCCTTACGCCTATCTTGTCCAAGATTGCAGAGGATTATGTTGTTCATGACAGATTACAATATTCCAAACCACATCTTATGCTTGATTGCTGACTTTCTATTGGATAGGAGACAGAGAGTTAAACTGGCCCAGGATTGCTTCTCCGAGTGCGGTTACAGGACTGTACATTCCAGCCGGTGTTCCTAAGGGGACAAAGCTAGGGCTGTGGCTCTTCTTAATAATGATTAATGATTTGAATGCAGGAGAGGCAGATGTGTGGAAATGTGTGGATGATACCACAGTCTATGAGGTCATAGATAAAGGCCGAGAGAGTTGTCTTCAGCAAGTGGTAGACAATCTCGCAATACAAGCAAGGGATGACAGATTTCAGTTAAATGAAAGGAATTAAGTGCAAAGAGCTCAGGATGAGCTTCGTAAGGAACAAACCCGAACTTGACCCTATCTTGGTTAACCATCAGACCCTAGAGAGTGTGAACAGTGTGAAATTGTTAGGACTTAATATTAGCAGTGATTTAAAGTGGAATGTCCATGTGTCAGAACTAGTTAGAAAGGTCTCAACAACATTTTATTTTCTAAGATGGCTTAAAGAAATGGCATGTTGCTACAAGAGAGCTTGTTCTATTTTACATCACATGCATTCGCTCTATTCTGGAGTACGGCAGCCCAGTTTTTTATCAGGCTGTACCAAGTTATCTAAGCGAACACCTCAAAAGACTGCAAAAACGTACTATGAACTTTATTTACCCTGAGCTATCATATGCGAAGGCTCTAGAGCTGTCCGCACTTTTAACGCTGTATGATAGAAGAGAGGCAATTTTAGCAAAGTTGTTCCATGAAATATGTGCTAATCAATCTCACAGTCTCCACAAGCTACTTCCAAGTAAATACCAGCCAAGCTACTCTCTGAAAGAACAAAGAACATTTATTCGTCCAAAGTGTAAAACTGAAAGATGCAAGAATAGTTTTCTTTAAAGTTATGTTTACAGTAGTTGAGAA